TTTACTGATTATCTACTATATGGAACGTAAAACCCGCCCCCGCCCCGCCCCGTTGCCATGCCTAGTCAAGCCTATCTTTTGTAAGCATTTTTATTTTTTTTATGTTTGTTATGGTTGATGTTAAAGAAATAATCTTTTATTTAGCTACATTTTAGGGGAAAGATAAGTATGCTACTCGAGTTGAGAATAGCTCGTTTGACCCGATCAGAAGTTGTAGACTTCAACTCTTTCAATCTCGTAGAAGTGTGCTACCCAAGAAGGCCATCTGAGGCCCAAGTGGCAAGTTGCCTCCCAGCTCAACCAAATCAAGCTAAGAATCGTCCTAAAAACAATTACAGGATTACCAACCATGAAGATAGAATAGAAAAAATCATGCCACTTTCGCTGCAAACACAAATTAGTATGATGTTAACTCTCATTATCAATTCATAAAAATGATTTGTCGTTACCCTGTTTAGTCTCAAAGAGAAATGTCTTTTCTAATTAAGGTTTGATTGAATATCTTCAAAAGCATTTATAAGAGAAGACAATAAAAAGGAAAAGTAAAATAAATTTTTTTATAAATTAAAATTAATTTATGCATACAATAATTTTTTTAAAGTTCTCCATATTAGTTTCTCTAAAAGGTTACTTTTAATTTTATATATAAGCTAATTTTAATTTATACAAAAAATTATTTTATTTTTTTCTAGAAGTAATTAGAGGAAATGAGACACTCCATATCTTAGTGTATAAAAAATAAAAATAATAAAATAATAAAAGAGTATAAAAAAAAAAAAGCAGAAAAAGTGGAGAAAAAAAGGGAAAGTAGTTACTTTGTATTTTTTTTTTTTAAGAAAAACGGTAACAATTATTTTGTTTTCAAATTTTACCCTTTAATAACTAACAAATATATTATTATTAAGGGATAAAAATGTCAAAGTAAATATGTACACAAAAATAAAATATTACCTTTATTATAGTTATAGATGAAAGTTTTTGAAGAAATTTATCTGCATACAAACGTAGAGAAATGATTTGAACAAAAAAATATATTATTTATTTGAGGTCACATTACAGTACTTATATTGATGGCTAAAAGTAATAAAGTTTCTTGATAAAGACTAGTTGCACAAGTTATTTACTATCCTTTATTCGTATCCTTACGGCATCTCCGATGTTATACAAATAAGAACTCACTTTAGTGTAATTTATGTCACCTCAATTTTAAATAACTCATTTAATTTTTTCCTTTAATAGAAGTTTTTATCCAAAATTTGATTAACTCACAAATATATTTTCTATCTTTCTCGTAAATATTTTATATTCTCTCTTATACATGCACATATAAATGTTAAATAACTTATAACACGTATTATATCAAAATAATATTTCATTGTTAAACAACTTCATTGTGGATGTTCTTAAGAACATATCTAATAAGAGTTATTTATGAGTTGTTTAATGGTAAAATATTATTTTAATATATTATATATTATTTCAACTTGTTTAAAATTAAGGAAAGTTGTTTATATAAGTAATTTTTTTGTGAATTGCTCAATATTTATGCATATATAGGAGAGAATATGAGATATTAATAAAAGAAAAAATATGTTTGAGTTAAACAAATTTTAGATATAAATTTGTTTCAGAGTAAAAATTAAATAGATTGTTTAAGACATAAATGGACCCACTTAAAAAAATAAAGTGAGTTGCTTAATTGAAAAGTGTCTTAGATGCCAAGTTGGAAAGGATATGCTTAGTAGTTCCAGCTTGAAGAGGAACTTAATTAGTAAAGGGCGAATGATCAAGAGGCTTACCAAAACACGAAGACGACCATTTGAGAACTCCAAAACCCTCCATTTGAAAATTTCGCAATTGAGACTAATTCGAATTTAGTTGAGATTAATATTACTGTACAATTGATTGATAAACCGTAGTAGTATTTACGACTCAAATACTAATAAGCACCGACTCCAACACTACTAACACCTACAAGAGGTACAACACCAACACATACCCCTCGACACAATTACATGAAAACATAACAAACACAATATAACTAAGAGACATCATTATCATCGAAAAGAAATTTTCACAATATTATAACTATGTCGCTTTACATAAAAAGAAATTAACTAATAACTTGCTAAAATATTTAATAAAGAGTTCAATAAAGATACTTAAAATTAAGAAAATAGAAAAATTATTTATTACAATTCTATTTTTAATTTTAAAAAGATTGATAAAAAAAAATGTGCCTACAATTATGTCAAACCATCCTAAACCAATATTCCCAAATTTAAGGTGTATCAAAATCGTGTCAAGAAAAAAAAAAAAAAAAGACGTAAAAAATGTCTGACATGTGTCTATGGCGTGACGAACACTCCGACACCTCCATTGCTATGTATATCGGTGCTTCCTAACTCAAACCCAAGTTTGTATTAATAACTAGATGAAAACCATCGAAACAATGAGGTGCTGCCATGTGCCAACGTTAAGGAATAACAGATGAAATGGTACTACACTGGAATAGAATCCGCCGCATCACAGTATACACATACACATGTACTAAAGTTACATTAACTAGCAACTGTGACAAATATCCCTAATGAAAAAGAACTGTTTATACATGGAGTATGTGTATAAAACAGGGGCATGAAACATGATTCACCCATCAGCCAATTTAAGTAGCTGGAAAACAACAAAAAGGCTAATGTAAATAATATATAATATAATAATATTATATATAAACCAAGCATTCCCCATGAAGTGGGGAAAGGGTATCAATCACTTCTTCCCTCAGCGACCAACACTGAATACAGGTAAATGGCTTGGACGCTGGAACCTCCAAGTATGCAAACATACATACATAAATTAACATGAAGTTTGTAGTATCCATGCTAATCTACATAAACTGAGGGCACCACATATTTCTCTTGATGCTGAAAATGCCATATTAAGATATGCTCTCCATTTAATATGTTGTCTTTCCAAGTGTATAGCCAAGATCAAATTATATGGCATACACTATTTCCCCACTGCTATCTATAGCAAGCTCAGATTCAGCATCAGATTCAGATTCTAAGTCATAAATTGACTCCCCCATAAACTGGTCAAAAGTATAGGTCCCAGCTGCTGGTACGGTGGCTTCTGAAATTATCTGCATGATCGTATCAATGCTCTGCATGGGTTGGTCTGGCTCTTCAAATTGATTACTCATTATCTTCTCATCCATCAGGTCCGCAGGGAGATTCTTCAGAAACCATTCATGATTCCAGATTTCAGACATGGTGATTCTCTGTCACGGAAATATCCAAAGACATAAGACTCGAACAAATGATTTTGACTAGCAAGAATGTAAATTACATTCCGATATTTTACAGTCGGTAGACCCAACCAAGTCACAATTCACAAAACATTCAACATTTTGCCATGTTTCCAATGACCACACTTTATTTTTTATAGTCTACAATATATTCCTATACTATGATAAACATACATTCACGTGGGACCTATATTAAATGTAAAATATATTATAAAAAATTGAATATAATTCCTTGCAGCAAGAAAATGCCAGACAAGAATGTCGAAAACATTGATATTGTTTGAGCTCAAAAATAGTAGTGTGAGAAAAATAATTTTGTTTTAAAAATATTACCTTTTGGTTCCTATACTTTCATAAACTTTACCTTTTAGTTCATATAATTAAAAACATTCAATTTTAGTCTCTATACATACCATTTTTTTTTCTTTTAGTTGTCGTAATTTTATAAACTTTATCTTTTAGTCTTTATACAAATAGACGACAAAGACTAAAAAAAAAAAACAAAAATGACAAGTATAAATAATATTTCTAACTATAGAAACCAAAAGATAATTAAACCAATAAATTTTAACAAGAAATTCGAGTGATAATATATAAAATTAAAAATTAATCTAAAACAAAATTACTTAGAAGACTTTGTAGTGTGAAATTTATCTATTGCAGTGGTAGGTCAGTTATTTGAAATAGAAATTACCTCTGCTGGGTCAAAAACAAAGATCCTTGAGATAAGGTGGCGACACTCTTGAGATATTTGAACACAGTCTGGAATGGAATACTGGACACTAAGAATTCTCTGCGAAGAAAGCAAGCAGCAACCACATGTTTTACTCAAGCAATCAGACACTACTACAAAAGAAAATGAGCACATATCTGAAGATTAAATATACCTGAATTGTCTTCCGGAAGTCCTTTGGTTCATTAGGATCTTCAAAAGGATATGCTCCCACTAGCATCACATATAAGGTCACACCGCATGACCAGACATCTGCAATCTAATATTAAATGCACAAAAACATAATAGAAGCAACTCATTAAGATATCCAACAAGCCAACTGATATTAGTCATCTACAATCTAATATTAAATACACTAAAACATAACAAAAGCAATCCATTAAGATACTCAACAAGGCAAACTTGTAAAGTTAAAATATCAAAATCTTTGGTGTTTATACCAATTTCAATTTTCAAACCTGTGCATATCCAATGATATTGAAAATTGAAAGGAGGGGTAGGGGGAATTCACAATTATACACTTATCAGTATATGGTGAGCTAGTGAAATAGGAAATTGAAGACAAATAACACATCAAAACCAAAAGCTTGAAAGTGAGTATTCAGCTTCATCTGTGCAAGTTTAAACACAACTTCAAATAAGAAAACAAAATAAAAGAGTACAAATGAAATAAGGAAGGGTGAAAGGAAGCAAATCAGGTGGTGGTGATCTCAAACAGATTTATTATTAATTGCATGTACAACTTCATATTTTTTATTTGCGTTTTTCTTTAATATTGGAAAATTTTCCATAAACACTTAATTGCCTTTTCCAATCTTGGCATTGCTTTCCAATATTCAAATTCAAATTCCCATTTGTTAGTTCCTATGAGCAGTTGATTATGTGAACTAGTTGTTCTTGAGAATGACACTTGCAATAATCCAGTACACCTGTCATGATCTCATCAATCAAAATAGAATGAAGGTTCTTACATGTTAATTTTGGAGTTTGAAAGTGGAAAATAAATGAAGTTTTGTGTAATGTGTCGCAACATGCAAAACATATGTTGCAACTTACAGTCTTTAAATGGAGGGAAATGGAGGGGAGGGAACAATGAGGGGGCAAATCCCCTCCCCTTCACTTTTTTCCTTTGAACCAACCAAACAACTCATTAAGAACTTTCATGGCACAAAAAGACAAATGTAAATTACTTCACATTCTCTTAATAGTTAATTATAGTAGACATATACAACAATACTGTAGAATGTTAAGTGTCAACTAACTAGATAGTCTAAAATGTATGGATATGACAAGGGACACAAGGATACAACAAATTTTAACAACATAGGACATAATTCAGAGTAAATTAATATTCTAAATCAGCACGGGTCACTGTAGACATAATAAAAAGACTACGATTAATTGTAAAATACATGGCGATGACAAAGGTATTTGAAGCATCTGAGATGTGTCCATCATGGACATGGCTTTAAATTTGAAGTTTTTATGTTCCCTTTCTAAGTATAGATTTTGAGCTAGTGCCTTCAGGACCTAAATTACATGGAAATGACAGCCAAAAACCTAAAATGACCTTTTTTTGGAGTGCAGACCAAAATGACCATTGGACTGGGTGAAAAAACTAGAAAATATCATCGCTTTAGATCCTTATAACATGAAAAGTCAAGAATTAGCCAGCTCAAAAATGATGATAAATACACAAAAAAATTGTTCATTTAATTATGACATCAATAGATCTACAGAAACAGAACAATGCCAATTAAACAGTAAAAACTCTACCTTGCCATCATACTCTTGTTTCAGCAATACTTCTGGAGCAATATATGCGGGAGTTCCCACAGTTGACTTTGGTTGTGAATGAAGCACTGAAGACTACAAATCACACCATCAATCAGATTTGTGGGATATAACAATGATTAAAGCAAACAAACATACACAACTAGAATACAATGATCATCAGTAATTGTGATCTACTTGTTCATCAGATATTCAAATTAGCCTCCTCTCAAGTGGATCACCTCATCAATGACTTGCTAATTGATACGACATAAGTTTTATAATCAAAGCCATATATGACAAGCTTAACGGCTCATAACTTTGACAATCCAAACTCTAACACGTGGGAATCCACCATAAAGAACAAGCTTTTTAAATAATTTAGATTATCAAATTTCACCATGTAAGCATGGAACTCATACCATGAACAGCTGGCGACATAACAAAAACCTTACCTTGGAGTACCCAAAATCGCATATCTTCAAACGAGGTGCCGGGCTTCCATCCAGCAAAGTGTTTTCCAGCTTTAAGTCCCGATGACATACTTGCTTCATGAGCAAACATATTACGAAGAAAATTGATACATCAGACATAATGTTTAGAAGACCGATACATTACCTATACTACATTTCTGTCTAGTGTAAACACAATTAAGATTGGACAGAGCAGACGGGAAAATGTTCAATTACCATAGCATGGCAATAGCTGACTCCAGATATGAGTTGCTGAAAGAAGAATCGAGCCTGAATCATAACAACGGGTTACAAACATGAGTAAAAAACATATTAGAAGCAAAAATTCATAACGTTCAGGTGTAGAATAAGTAAACAAATAAAATAACCTCGTCCTCAGTAAAACGTCCAGCATTGCAGATTCTCGCAAAGAGCTCTCCTCCAGATGCATATTCCATTACAATAGCAAGATGAGTAGGTGTTAAAATAACCTGCGTGGAAATTTTATAGAACATCACAAATAAACGTGATTTCCCCTCCCTCGTGCATAAATAACATTTAGAAAATAAAAACACAAAAATACACTAACCTCTTTAAACCTAACAATGTTAGGATGTCTGAGAGACCTGTGATTAATGATTTCCCTCTTTACATTTTCATCAATCTGTGAGACACAACAAGAATTAAAACCACGGCTCCAGCACTTCATCAATAAGAAACAACTAACCGCTAAGTGCTAACCAATGCCGCAGAAAAAATTATAAAAAGAAAAAAAGAGTAACGAAACAAAAATGGAAACACGGAAGATGGCAAAAATAGTATCACACGTCAGCAACAAGCAAGGAAACAATTAAAGCAACTCGATCATGTGATCAATTGGTTTTCCCCTCTTTGCCTTCACAAAAGGCGTGAAAACTAAAAATTTTCCAAAACAAGGGGCAACAGAAAGAACAGCACCAAAGAAACAAAAAAACAAAAAAAAAGTTGCTCATTCGTGGAGACAACCTTATCACCCCTTTCGATGTACTTCACGGCAACGAGTTCCTTGGTTTGCTTATCCTGCATCAACCTCGCTACGCCGAAATTCCCCGACCCGATGTCGCGGACCAGATCGTAACGGTCGCTGTCGTGCATGATCGGCATGTCCATGGCCGGTCCAATCGTCAACGCCGCCCGATCCATCTAAAAAAACCGAACCGGACAAAAAAAAACGAACGAGAACAACGGAAGTTTGTTTTTGTGTCCCGGAACGGCGGTTACATGAGAGAAGTGGAGACGGCGTCGTTTGGGGTTGGGTGGCGAAGGAGTGGGGTGAGGGGGAGAGAAGACTTAGAGAGAAATGGCGTGTGTAATGTGTTGTGTTGGTGAGGGAAAGAGAATAGAATAGATAAAATATAGTGGATTGGGTTGGAGGTTGGAACGGAAGCAAGCAACTGCAAAGTGCAAATTGGTGGAACCAACGACACAGCAAACGGTGCCGTTTCGCCTCTGTGTCCCAGATGACGCAGATTCTGCTCGTTGCCTCGTAAGCAATGTTGTCGCCTTTCTCTTTTAACTTCTCCCTTACTCTCTTACCTTACTCATTATTATTATTATTATTATTATTATTATTATTATGATTATTATTATTATTATGATTATTATTATTATTATGATTATTATTATTATTATGATTATTATTATTATTATGATTATTATTATTATTATGATTATTATTATTATTATGATTATTATTATTATTATGATTATTATTATTATTATGATTATTATTATTATTATGATTATTATTATTATTATGATTATTATTATTATTATGATTATTATTATTATTATGATTATTATTATTATTATGATTATTATTATTATTATGATTATTATTATTATTATGATTATTATTATTATTATGATTATTATTATTATTATGATTATTATTATTATTATGATTATTATTATTATTATTATTATTATTATTATATTTTTCTCTCTTTACCATATTTCTATCCAACACAAAATATCTTCTTTGCAGGATACTTTTGAATTCTTCTTAGATTTTTTTATTTTTATTTTCGTAGATAGAATAGAACTGGTACAAGAGAAATATTACCAACCATGTGCCTAACCTACAAACAATTTTCGGCTGCATCTATATTTTTTTTTAAAGGAGTGTAAATAAATAAATAAAAATTACGATAGTAGAAAGTGCACTCTTATTACATAAGCCAAAAGGAGTCATTTTAAATTAAATGTATGTTTAGTTACACGTTCAAAACATGATTTAGAGAAAAATCATATTTAAAACGTAAAAATTATAATTTATAACTGATAATTTCTATTCTAATGTAATTTATTACATTGAAAATCTAAACTAAATACATATTAAGTGATCTTGAATCCAACTCTAAATATACAAAAGTAGTGTTTGACTCTAGTATAGCTATGAAGTCAGTATATTGATTATCCATTCTTAATATATAATACAATTGAATTTGTGAATCTCCGTGAAGTAGCTCCTGGATATGATAAACAAGAGTATTAAAACGGTGTCTATGATCACAAGAGGATTACACTATTAAAGTATAATCAGAATCTTAGAAACACAAAATATCTTTATAATCAAGATGCCAAGCAAGAGTAAGTCAAATAATATTTGAGTTAACTTCGTTCTTCTATTATTTGTAATACCTATTGTTGGGATACAAACAAGTCCCACATCGATAAAAAATAACAAATAACAACTTATATAATACAAATATACTTCAATGATTGAGAGGCCTTTTGGGTAATGACCAAAAATAAAACCGTTATTTCTAAGGTCCAAAGCTGACAATATCTCATCATTGTGGATTATGTTTGTGTAATAACCTTATAAAAATATTTCATAAAATATCCTCTCAGACAACTACCATAAAAATAACCCCATCACCTATATTACCATAAAACCCCTTAATCTAAGCATTCATAGAATTCCTAATCAACCCATCAAAGTTAGCAGGGAAGGTTGTCCCAAATAACTACCATCCACATGTAGAGAGACTTGCTCGCCAACTGCAAGCTCATAACCCACCTATAGTTAATTAGTTTATGGATATGTTGCGAGGATTTAACACGAAACTTTAGCTTGTGTTAAGGTCGTTACGAGACTTACTTAAATATTATTGTGCATGGTTAAATTTATTTAACTACTTTGAGTATGTTGAAACTATTCTATCCAATTAGTATATTTAGTTTTATTTGCATTTTCAAATTAACAACGGTACTTTATCGTATCCGATTCTAAGGTGTTAATGTAAAGTGAAAGATAGTTCTATGTAATTAAATTTCCTCGTGCTTTTGTGTATGATGTTTGGGGATTATATATCTTTTCGATTTGAGTAATAGTCTGTATTTATCCAATAATTTTATAAGGAAGATAGATAACACTTTTTGGGATGTATCTTCCTCTAAAATTTGTCAATTCATCATGTTGCAACTCTCACAACAGAGTTGACCCAACCCAATTCGATTAGAATGAGATTTCAATGGTGAATTATCCATATACAATCTTAAAAGTTCTTTAAGATCATAGGTGATTAAGTTAAAGAATTTAGGATTCAGGTCAAGATATCCAAGATTTAAGTCAAAACTTCTTAAAATAATGACTGAGCTATGTAAATAAGTATATAAAGTTATATTTAAGATTTTTACACTTAAATGTCTTGAATTTGTACGACCGCTCGATTTTCTTTAGAGAAGATTTCGTACCAAAGCAAATTTTAATTTTATCACTTTTTCATTTAACTAGTCTATGGATGTTTTGCAATTATTATATTCCACTAGTCTGTCGGCATGTTTGATTTTGCATTCTCATTTTTAAGAAAAGTATTCACTTTTTCACGTTAATTTTTTTTTTATATGTGCGAATATTAGTAGTTAATTGTCATGTTAGCGAGAAATTTGACGAAGCAATTCTGTGTAGTTTTAAATTTCTAGTCTTTGTGCACTTGACATAATTTCAAAACCAAATATATGTTATGCGTGTCAGGAGATATACTTGATAAAAGTTTTCAAGGTTTGAGTATTTTCTGGAAAGAATATTTTTTTTTTTTTGTATATATAGATGAAAGAATAAAAGTTAATTCTGAATCTTGTGACTTGTGAGAGTAGTAAGTATTATTTACTGGAACTATATTATTGGGACTAGTCTAGTTATTTTTATTTGATATTTCTAAAATGTGTAAAAAGAAAAATAAGTACGAATGATGAAAGTCATATTTTCAAGGAATTAGCTTTTTTTGTCAAATAGTTGTGTTGATTATATAGGGTGGGTATGTGTTACTGTCACAGTACAGGCACAGCCACTTAAGACTTTTGGCTTCTAATGACCCTTAAAAGAAAAAAAAAAAAAAAAAAAAAAAAAAAAAAAAAAAAAAAGGCTTTTGGCTTCTATGGGTTGTGTGAGAGAGCATGGACATGGTCCCCCACTGGAAATAGAGAATGAGGATTGGATTGAAAATGGATAAATTTTGATGGTAATTGGTCAATGTGGGAATGATACGGTGTGATGCGGATTAGGTGTTAGGTGCGTGTGAATCAAACGGCCAGTGTTTGTTAATCATGATGATTTGGTCAATGGTGGTGAGAATGTCTTTGATGTTAGGCAGGGAAAGTCACTTTCGGTCACTGACAATAAAGGCTTGAAATGCAAAGTAAGAAAAGGTTGCAACCTTGAACGGGTAATTGTAATGTTACTACACTCATGCTAATTCCACCATAAAAAGGAAATATTAAATAAGCAAGGACAAAGGAGTTGACGGGTAATGAGGAACATAGATGAGAAGATAAGTATCCGCAACATATTTTATATCATGATTTGGTGAACATTTCATTATTCAACTCATGGGGGTAGCATAAGGAATGACACTTATATTTCTCTAGACCCTACTAGCTAGTACTAAAATAACAGAAGAAAAAAAAATCACATTATCTTCCTCCGTTGCAATGTCTCCAAAAGTTAGCTTTATATTAATTAAAAGTGCCTATAATAATATTAAGTCAAAAATTAAAATATTATATTATTTTTTAATATTAAATTATCATTACTTTTATAACTAGACTTGTGCCAGCGTTGCACGAAAAATAAATTATTATAGTTAATAAATTTTATTTTAATAATTAATATATATAAAATTGTGAAAATTAATTGAACTTAACGTAACATAAAAAAAATATGAATATACAAATAAAACAATAATGATAAACGTTTAAAAACATGATAATATGATGTATTAGAAAAACTAAATTGCATTGTATCTCAGCTTCAAAAATATTAACATCTACAATATGAACTAATGCATTAACCTAAAGAAATAAAACCTTATAATTAACTTATAAGATGTGTAATATTAAAATGTTATAAAGATATAGTAATGACTCTTGAACACATCCATCATGAAAAATAAACTTGGTGAAATGCTTGAAAATTTGGTAAAATTAGAACTAAAGTAGACATATTTTCCTTTTATAATGTTATTATAAAAAAAAATGCAAGTTACCTATGTCAGAGTCTAAAAGACTTCTTTATAAACTACATTAGTAATAGATGTTGAACCATTTACCTCATCGTCACAAATAAGAATTTTCATATCACTGCGAGATGTGACTCGAGATATTGCGACATATAATTGGCCATGTGAAAAAACAGGTTGTGGAAGATAGATGGCAACATGCTTCAATAATTGTCCTTGGCTTTTATTTATTTTCATGACAAAGGAGACATTTATTGAAAATTGTCTATGTTGAAATTTGAAAGGAATTCTCTCATATTATGGAATTAAGGACAATCAAGGAATAAAAACCTTTTGTCCAATATTGCTGTCTGATATCAGTTTTGCCTCCAAAACATATTTACCCAACTGAGTTATGATAAGTCTAGTTTCATTATACAACCCAGAAGATTGATCTATATTTCTCAACAACATTATCGGAACACCAACTTTCAATTTCACTTCATATTTGGAATTTCAGAAGTAGTGATAATATTAAAAAATTCAAGGGTATAAACATCATTAGGTGTACCTAATTGCCCTTTAGTAAAACATGTAACACAAAGAGAATCTATCGATTTGCTGAATTGTAACCCTTTTGCACTCTCTTAGAATACCACATCATTGCTACGCATTATTGGCACTCACAAGTAGGATCACCAATATCGCAATAAATTGTTTATTATTATAAGAAAATAATAAGCCTTCATGTAAATAGATTAATGGTTAAAATATGAAACTTATTATAAAATACAATATTGAAGACATACAATCGGTGGTGGATACATCTTCATGTATATCATCAATGACTACATTTTGCTTTAAAGTTCTGATTAATCTACCATTATTCCATATTAACCTTTGTGGTCCTTTCCCTTGTGCATGGTTATTATGATTTGATTCACATTCTTCAAACATGTCATCAAATTCATTATTTTGATTTGATGTGTGATTTGCTCTTGGGCTAG